TTTTTTTTTTCCTGTTGCTGACAGTATTTTCACTGATTAAGCATCCGCTTGCCCTCTCCATCTTTCTACGACATTTTCACTGTGAGATGTACAGATGCGAGTTTCGAAAGATCCCAACTTGTCGTTTAAACTCGTCGTGGTTTCTGGAATGCAGCCGTGAAAGTTGCCAGGGCTCCAGAAACTCTACGATGGTGATATCTGGCATTGCTCCTCTCGAGCCTAAGATTGTTTTGGTGTACTAAATGATTAATTTTCAAGAATGAACAACGCCGAGCTGCAGCTCGTGAACAGTGTGAGAAATTGTTCGCCGATTCGAATCTCCTGACCGAATCAAAGATGCAGCTTATAAATGAATTTATGTATGGTTGTGGAGGTATAATTTTTATTTCGGCATCAAAACTGCTTATTATGGCAGTGAAATTTGTTCAGTCACGCTGTATTAATTCGATAGAAAATAAATTTTAGTCAATCCGTGCCCGCAGTTTGGTGCTGCCATCATCGTGAAAATATCGGAGACGTATGAAAATGAGCTTCAGCGGGACGGAACTGTGCAGGCGCAGCAGATCGAATCTTTCTTCGAGGTATTTGTTGCATTTAAGGGGTTTTAATTGATTACTCAAGGTACACAAGGCAAGAACTCGCGTTCCTTTTAAACGGTTCGAGGTTTCAGGTTAGAAAAAAAGTGACGATCCAGCACAACTTGTTGTTATTAAAGATTCCATGATAGGGCCGCATACGGAAGTCACCCTCTTCAATGATCCTATATCAATGGATGTAAAACGAGAAGTGAAACAAGGTGACATCTGCTCTCTAAAATCCTACACTAGCACACTAGAACGAGTTCTCAGAAGTATGGATGCAAAAGATGGAATTAGTATCGACGGCAAGAAATTACAGATGCTACTATTTGTAGACACATAGTCTTTGTCGCAGAAAGCCCTCAGTCGTTGCAAAATCTATTAAACGAGCTCATAGCGAGGACAACGACAATCGGGCTCACAGCTAACATCGGCGAAACCACGGGATAAGTAGAGATGGACCAGAAAGAAGAGTTGGGCTGATCATGTGGCATGGATGTTAGATAATGGATGGGCGAAGCGAATAACGGAATGCTATTCGTGACAGTCAAGCGAACACTTGGGAGGCCATTAGTGAGGTGGAGAGACCCCATGGTACGCCTGTGCGGCATCGCGTGGACTTGGAGAGCGCAACAGCGAATCGAATGGAGAAGTCGCCAGCTGCATCGATGGCGTGACAATGGACGTCGATGACATGCAGCTGGTCAAGTATTCAAGCAATTATTATGCCAGCACTTCTACAGGCATTTTTTTTTT